GTGTAAGTGTATGTGTGAGAATCGACTTATCGACCTTAATCGTCGGTTAATTTGACCTGACCGCCGCCCAGGCGCTGATCTACTGACTGACCGTCTCCGCGATGGCGACTCGTTAACGGGGCGGTGTGTTTGAAGGGAGGCGCCACCGATTGGCGGGCGGAGTCCATACGTGTGACGTGTCTCATGCGACCGTCACCCCGGGCGCCGCTTGCTATCAAGTTACACAACTACTACTCGTGTCCATCTCTCAGCGCCCGTTGACACGATTGTCTATTGGAGACGATTATTATTATTGACCAGTTGAGTGACCGCCGCGACCAGTGCTTCGGCTTCGGTCCGATGCTCATATGACGGCCAGCCGACTGGCCACTGGTCATTTGACCCATGCTTCCGAGCATATTCAAAGAGACCATCAAACTGAGTTTCTGTGCGGCATGAGTTCCGTGGCTCGTTTCACATCGCCCGTCGCATCACAACGTGTTTACGTCTACTGGTTGGTTGGCCGAATGCCGCCTGTCCATCGGTCAGTTCATCCCACCGCCTATCTGCCAGGAACATGTGGTGGTAGTCACGAACGGTTGGTGGCGCTGACGCCATGCGATGAACAGATCTACCGATTAAAATCGCTGAGGTCGGCCATGTGAACAGTGCATCTCTTTGAAAAGTGCCGGCAACTTTCGTGTAACACCCATACTTGTGTTGTGACCGTGGTTGGAAGAGAAATTTTTCCCATGCTAGCTCATGATAGTTAAATTTTCACAGCGCAGCATGCAAAGTGAGGAAACAACGTATTACGCTGTGTTCTGTACCTCCCTTGCAGAGAAGGTCGGTTCAGTGTTATTGTAGGCCTTAATGATACAGTAATGTTCAGGGGCTGACACCTCAGTTCTTAATCTTGGAACTGGCCTAAAGTAATAATCAAATATTAGGCATAAAATTTTCTGACGTTTCTGATTGCCAGGATTCATCTTGAAGAGGCTGCAATGCAAACACTTCATAAATCTGAGTTACTCTGTTCCATAAGCCGTTATCGTCAGATGACGATGACAAAGCAATAACGATTCGAACCGTGTACTACCTGAAGATAGTCCCTTGAGGTGTGAACTGACAAACCGTCCATAACGCATTTTAGCGAAATTAAGCGTTCATGGAATGATAAACTATTCACTTGCATAATAAATGTAAGTTAATTTTAGGGTAAACCTTCAAATAAAATGGTAGTTAAGCCAAAAATCAGTAGTCTAAAAACACGATAATGTTGGTCCCCCTAGAACGGTATTCTCTCTCATTGTTCGTAAAGCTGCATACGTCTTTAACGTTACTCTGTTCCGATGAAGGACGGTACAACCAACAGCTATGAAACTTCGAAATAATGCAAAGGGAAACACCTCAAAGGTTCGACAGCAACCATGGATTAAAGCTATTATAAGATGAGATAGGAAAGATCTTCTGCGCTGTTTATAACACTAGAATTAAGGAGCTAAATTACTGATACAAAACCTACAACATTCTATCATCTTCCCGATAGACATTAGCATTTATCACCGTGTAGTTTAGTTACATGGTAGTGATTCTTGAAAGATGTTGATCACGTTTCATGACCAGTTGTAACTCATACAAAGAAGTACCGTAAACCTGACCTGTTTATATGGAAATCAGCTGTCAAGCGCGTTGGCGGATCATGACTTCTTGGGTCAAAAGTTACTGCCACCGAAACAAGCTTTGACGCGTTGATGTCAGTATCCTTTTGTTCGTGTGAACAACGCCAAAGCCTGACTGGCCCAGAATTTACCACCGCATGCGATAATCGGTGAAGATGCAAAATATTGAGGACCAATGTAAAGCGGTCATTGGTTTCGATTCCAAGCTTATGAGCAGGAGTGACAATGCAAGTTATGTATTATTTGACATGCCAATGTCCTGACCGACATGTCAAGGTGTTTTGCGGATCAGGCACAAAACCTACTTTATTCGTTTCTATGCTGACCGTTTGATGCAACGCAATTTTATAAATGTTCGTTAATTATTGCATGACAAAACCAATATCAATTTCAAAACATTTCATGACGAACATAAATTGTTTTGCCATATGTTGAAAAATTGGGTAAATATTCCTTGTCAGATCTTAGTCTTATATATATATATTTCTGTTGGCTCGTTCCATTCCGTTCGTAGTTTTGGCTACTGCTACCTGGCATCTTGGAGAGAACATCAGTGTGTCTTTTACCTTCGGCCACAGGTTTCCAACTACAGCGCAAGAATTAACCTGTGAATAAGTGACTGAAATCATCAAAGCTGTTACAGAGTATTTCGTTTAACCGGAATATGTCCATCAGCGATCAGACACAGCCAGCAAACATTGCGGAAAAATACGAATCGTCTCTAATATATCATGCATTCCAAGAACATCTGTAAATCTGGCTTAGACATGATTGGCATAGATGTGGGTTTCTATTAGCCGCATACGAACAAAACGTGACAGATGTGAGTATCACGGATGGGAATTCAGAGGCTTGCCTCAATGTGCATGTGGGTGGATAGCGAAGCCATAAACTATTATACAATTGAATATGTGATCTATAAATTCAGATATTATACAAGTAAAATGGCCAAAGCTGTGGACGCTACCTTCCAGAGGCTTTTCAGCCTAAGCCTCGCACCTCAATGATGCATTCCATATGAAAGGTGAAAGATTCTGAATGAATAGAAAAGTTAATCATGTTGAAGAAACAGATTCGAATTTTCATTTCATCTTCATCTTCCATGTTTTCTTCTCGTTTCGGATCGCGGAGTCAGACCTGCAAGACGGTGTTTCCAACGTTGCCGACCGATCCTGCGTCAGAGTTCAAGCTTCGGCAGAAGACAACCAGAGTCTGAAGCCTACTCTTTCCATTTATCTGCAATTCATTACTCGCATTTTATTTTTCCAAGGTAGGTAAAAAGCATCCCATCGTCGGAGAATCGATAAATGGCGCGCTACTGAAGGTTAAGTTGCACCATAAGTTACATGAAACAACGATATTACAAAACATTCCCATTTTTTGTGAGCATACCAGCCGTTTCAACGGTTACAAACTCTCTTTCTACCTTACCCACTTTTGCCTCAATAAACTTGTCATAATTTTGACTCCTTTGTCACCAAAATATCACCCTATCAAAGCTTTCCGTGCAGCTTCCTAAAAAAACTTTAAGAGCACGACTTAGCAAATGCTTGAATTTCAGTCATCTCATACTCTCATAATAGACCAGGTATTCGTACATTCCTCCCGGAAGTCTATTGAGTTACGTCGATCGCCATTCCGCTGTTGTTACTCATATGAGCAGTAGGTATAGGATAAGCTTTATTCTTGTTAAGGCTATGTAATTTGCTTAGACAGTTTCTGTGTTCTTCCTGTGTCATGTGAACGGTGGTTCCCACGCGTGGTTATCTCTCGACTGCCGGCAATTCGACGTTCTCCACCCCCTACTGCCGACGATACAACGTGAGAACCGTAGACTGAGAAAAAGCCGATGAGAAACGGCAGTTCCTTGAACGGGGTTGTAGGCTCATTTACATGACAAGCTTCCGACATGTCGAGTCTGATGATAATTTTGTCAACTGCAGATTTTTACCTGTACAAAAAACAAACCAAACGTCATCCAGCTTCTTTTCAGGGAGCAAATCTGAATTTAGCCTCAAAAAACAATCGTGGCAGTACTGTACTCGAGTGAGCATTGAGGTACAGTCGTGATCAACAGGTAACGAAGATTTAATACTTCTGATGAATCATTGCCACTTATTTAAACGCCATGTGATCATCTACCATAACTACGTGGCAATCATTCAAGTAGTTGATGACGGTGGATTCAGATTTTAGCGATGTGATTAACAAGATTTACCCAATCACACGGCATGCAAGTGCAACGAGTCATTTTGCATACTATTTTTTAGGTGTCAGGTTAAGCTTGTGCTTTCTAAGTTCCGAACCGAACGTTAGCCTTAAGTTCAGAGGGAACGTGGACATCGAAAGATTACACTACTTATTTTTGTGAAACAATGATGACGGTTACTCCTAAACCCTTCCTTCCGGATCTAGCGAACTTGTAGTAACAAAATGAGTTGAAATTGAGTCTCTCTCAAGGTTCGAATGTAACAGGAAGTTTCCTAGCCTTTGAGAAAGCAACAACCAAAATTAAACATGCTAAACAAACCATATAAAACGTTTTTACTTTTCATGCTCATCAGCAGATTTCTTGATTGATCACGTTGGTTAATATTACGTTGAAGAGAAAATTTTCCTGCTCCAAATAAAAGCAGGGAAGTACGGGTTGCTAAGCGATAGAATTTTAGGGCAGACAGAAACCTAATAATTATATGTCTAACGAAACCGGCGAATATCTCCAAAAAACCTGATGGTTTAGTTCCAACTATGAAATTTGATGAAGCTTTCTTGATGATAAATCTGTCTAAGTGAAAATGTTTTTCTACAGGCCGTAATAATGGCATTTACCTCGGTGAAAGAGGATAAATGATGAACGTCAGTAAGTGAATGAATACAGGACTTCGTTTACGACTATAATTAACAAAATATTTTCTTACACGAGGCTAATCTAAAATTAGAGTATGAACCTCTAACAAAGACATCTGTGCCAGCGGTCACACATTAACGCTAAGTGTTCAAATCCTTACTCAGGTAAAGACAATTATATTTTAAAAAACTGCTTGTATGAAGTAAACCAGTGGCTAGAGAATTTATTATTTTTTCTTTCTTTTACATTCAAAGGGAAGTTCTGCCAGGGAATTCTTTTGTGGAGGCTGCAAGAGCACACAGCTTTCCCTCAATGTTAATGTGTAGCACTTAAGTTGGTGTGAGGGCGGAAGAGTGATAACGTGATATGGAGAAGGAGAGATCCAGCGGCAGTTTCGTCAAATCCAACGCGGTTCAAGATCATCACCGAGCTTCCCAAGATTTCATTCAGGTTAAGGAAATTTTTTCTGAGGTCGGTATTACCTTCTCTGCTACTTATCAGGAAAAACATTAAGTGCTCTAACTGAAAGTCCTGTTTTAGCACCATAGCAGCAATCACGTTCCACAGATAGAAAACGTGATCTTCGTGGTACTTTCGTGAACGAAGGAAATAGTCCTGCAATCTTAATCATCAACATCTTCTGTGAACAATTTTACAAAATGCCTTTACACTCTGCGTTCACACTGCAGCCTATTTTTAATTTAGAAATTCATTGAAATTACGAGACTTTAATGCTGAAATTGTATTTATTCTCTAACATGGGCTAATCAAAGCTCTCGCATTTTAATTCTTCCATTTCACCGATCAGTTCTTCAAAGTTTGAAGGCACGAACTGATTACATGAAATGAGAAGTGAAGATTTCCGTCAACAAGTTAACGTTCTTTGGAAACATTTGAAATTTGCTCAAACGATGCTTGACTCTTCTTGGAAAAGGGTTTAAAATTTAAGAGAGGTTAATAAACAATTTAAAGTGAATTTAGTAACCACAAAACATAAATATTATTAGTCTGCATTAAGTTTATTAATCATACTTTGCCTGAAATTCTTAAATTCAAAGAGATATTACCATGACAGGAAGTGATTCGCAATTTTATAACAGCTTGCCGTCGTCTGGAGGTGGCATTTGCAGTCATA